GAGGCCTCTGTGTGCTAGCCTAGAGTTGTGGGTCAGGGTGAGGAGAGGCATGGACTTCCCTGCAGGCTTGGCTTCAGCAGGAGGGACCCTCTGCGGGTCATAGTGGCAATATGGAAGGAGGTTAGCATAAATTAAGGAGCAACATAGCTTGAAACTTGTTTGTTGTTGTTTTGTTTTGTTTTTAAGAAAGAGCATCTCACTGTGTTCCAAACCAAGCTGGCCTGGAGCTTTCCCACAGTCTTGCTTCCATATCCTGAGACCCAGGACACTGGGTGTGTACCACCATTCCCAGCTTCCTGGAACCCTTTGGGGAACTTGATGATCACTTATCCAGGGATGTATTAAATCTAACAGGGTTCCTCCATGGAGGTCTTGGGAAGAGAATACCCTGGGATTAGTTTTAATCTTGTTGGAGGAAGTCCAAGCAGATTGTCAGTGAGCTGCTTCACTGTTTGATGAGCCCTTGTGTTCCTTTAGCCAGGTGTCTCTGTGTGATTTCTGTGTGTCAGCTTAAGAACTTGACTGAGATGAAAGGGAAGAGAATTTAGCGGTGATGATGGTAATAGCTGATATTTTGAGACCCTTACTGGAGTAATATAATGGAATTATTGGTGTAAATGACACAGCTCAAAGTATATAACTATAATTGATTTGAATAATGAAAAAAAGGCCTCAAGGTCTGTGAATTTTCTTGTGTGTGGTCTGAGGCAGGAAAGCAGGGGCTGTATTCCATTACAAAGCACAGAGAGATTTTTCCCCCTGTGCGTTTTAGACAACAACTGCAATTGTGTCCCCAGAATCTCAGACATTTCAAACTGAAAGAGACTGTCAGGGTTTTGTTTTGTTTTTTACTTCTAATCTAAGCCTCTCCTTTTACATCTCAGATCCTTAGGTCCCAAAAAGCTAAATGACTTTTTCCAAGATGACCAGGCAGAACAGGTTCTAGGTCCCAGGTGTCAGGACCTCTGCCAACGCAGGGGCCCCTGTCCTAAGTGATACTCTTGGCCACGGGAGAGCACTGAGAGTCATGGGAGGCACAGCCCAGGCCTTCAGCACGGGTGGAAACACCAGCCAAGCACATCTTAGAGTCTAGCAGTAATGCTGAGAGCCCTTAACGACCAGAAACCAGCTATTTAGCAGCACCCTGCTTTTTTTTTTTTTTTTTTTAATGATATGTAGATAACAAAGAGAATACTATCAGTTACAGCTCCTAAATTTACTCATAAGCTAGCAGGACTGGAGTGTAGCAACCCACAGAGAAAACACTGACACAGGTACATGGGAAAAGTGGAAACATAGAGGGAGACAGGTGGGGTGCGGAAAGGCTGGCTTCCCTTCTTCACCTACCCAGCCCACCAGCCCTTCCGTGACTGCTTAGGGCTTATTTCAGCTGGATTTCATCTGCCCAGAAAATGGAAGTGGGGAGCACTCAAAATAGTTGAAGGTATTGAGTTTGGTTTCTCTTCCATCTGAGTATTGACCAGGCCTGACCAAGATCTGGTGAAATCCCAGCACATTCAGGGTAGTATGGCCATAGAGATTCTAAGCTTCATACGTCTAGGCAAAGTTCAGACTATTTAATATTAGATGGTAGGTCAGATTTGCAAAAAAAAGAAAAACAGAGAGAATAACCACCATAAATTAAATGTAAGATGAGTTGAAGTAGATGTGAAGAGTTTTATTTTGGAATTGTCTGATAATTCCTAGTTTAATACCTAAATAGATATTTAGGTAGTAGGTAGGTAGGTAGGTAGGTAGGTAGGTAGGTAGGTAGGGTAGATATTTATTATACACACACATACGCATACTTCTAAAGTCCTAGACTTGATACTCTGAGGCCCAGTTCTGGATGTAGTGTTCCAGGCCTTTCCTGGCTTAATTATTCTCATCTCCATGATCCTAAAATACATAGAACCTTAGCAATGCCCCCGTTGTATAAGATGGTACTTAACTGTGGTTCTGTGCCTTCTAGGCACCCAGCTAGTGGTTGGCTACTTAAGCTCCCTGGGATTTAAGGGAGCACTCCTTATCAGGTCATGCATAACTGGCTTGCTGCCCAGGACCTTCAGAATCAAGCCTTATTCCAAGGCTGTACATTTAGGCCATAATAATCAAACCATCTGTGGAATTGCCTGCCCTGAATTGAATTTTTTAAACCCTGGCATTTTTCAATTTCTTGCTGCATTTACTATTTAAAAAAAAAGTTGTAGGAGGACAGTCAGTCAATCCAAGTCTCCTCTATAAAGTCCTACAGATCTTCAAAATAACTCTGTGCCAGAAAAGCTCTCCTTCCACTGAGTGAACGTCGTATATCTGAGGGTAAGAGCATTCTGTTAACTCGTTCTACCTTGTGAACCTCTGATCCAACGGAATTTTCTCCTCTGATGGGCAGAAAACTCAAGAGTCCATCTAGCTGGACCACATACACAGATGTTGTGTTTGTTGGAGTATTTATTTTCCTTGTCCTGGATTTTAACTTTTTTGTGTATTTTATTATTGCTATCTTAAAGCCAGCTAGCTAGCATGCCTGCCTTTCTCCCTTCCTACTTTCTGTCCTTCCCTCTGGTACCAAGCATCGACCCGTGCCTTGCACTTTTTAGACATGTTCCATCACTGAGTTCTACCCCTGAAAACTTTTTCTCTAGCAATGAAAATAAAGTCATTATGAACTTTAAAAATAAATTAAAACACTCTTACAAGTAGCTATTGAAGCACCTTGCACCTAGCAATTGACACTTCTAGCATCACAAAGATGTAGGTTTATAGTATTTACTTATGTGTCATTGGAAATTGTATAGTAAAAGCATCTAGAAATAACAGTGATGTAAACTAGTTTTTAACATAAAAGAAATCCTGAGACAGGTGACGAAGGTCTGATATGATGGCTCCACTAAATCACCTTCTAAGTCTGCTGTTTTTAATAGGCCTGTAGTCATCCATGGCCCAAGATGCCTGCTGAGTTGTAGCCATATTATCTGCATTTCAGGGAGGCAGAAAGGGAAGAGGGCAGGAGGATTAACTGCCTTTTATGGTTTTTTTTTGTTTTGTTTCATTTTGATTTTTGGGTTTTTGTTTGATTGTTTTTTTTTTTTTTTTTTTTTTTTTTTAATGAGATCAGACTGTTTAGATTTAACAAGGATTTAGTCTAAGGACTCACATAGCTGCAAGGGAGCCAGGAATATTTTACTGAGTGAGGCACATTTTCAGGTAAGAGTGCTTTGTTAAAGCTACCTCATAGTTTACAGGAAGGTTTAGACTTTAATTAACAAATAGTAAAACAAACCACAACATATCCTATAAGCTTTGACATTTTGCCTTTCAAAACTTTGTTATGAGTTTATCATTTGTGCATGTACTTGATATTTTTAGATATTCAGACAGTACAGACTTATACAAGACTAGACTTGATATAGTTTTTTTCCCAAGGATGATATGCTCTGGGAGGTAATTATAGGGATGATTCAGGTACCAGAAACGATTAAATTGGTGGTGGGATCCATGTCAAGGACTTCACACTATGTCACAGACTAGGCTGTCTGGAGGAGCAGCTGCTTTTCAGCCTCTGTCATTGTTGCCATGCCAGGCTCTGCTTTACCAAATCTTCTGGTTTGGCTTTTTTGTTTCTTTAGAGTTTTGTTATTGTGTGTTTGTTTTAGAAAAACGACATGTACAGATTTTTGCCCAAAATCTGATGTTTGACAACCAGTAAACAAATTTCCCCCCAAAATGCCAGGCAAAGCCAGGCATGGCTCCTCAAATCTATAATCTCAGTAAACAAAAGGCCAAGGCAGGAGGACTGCCAAGAGTTAAAGGCCAGACTAAGCCTGGCAAAGATGACACCAGGCTGTGGCTTGTTTTCATCCTGCAGCTGAGCCTCCAGGCCTGGTGGGCTCAGGTGGCCCGTGATGTGGCTGGGGACATTGCTCTGCTATTCCTGCCTCCCCACACCCTGGCCTCTGTAGCTGGTTTGTCTTGGCATATGGAGAGCTCATAGAAATCTGGCGTAGAACAGGATTGGCTGTGGCACTTAGTTGAGCCGCTCCTTTACCTGCTTTTCATTTTCTTAAGTCATTTAAATGTGGTCAATCAGAAACCAATGGAGCTTGGATCCCAGATCTGCCTGTGCACCAGTCATTTGGGGCCTTGTGTCTTCTGTTTCTCCTCCTTTCCCTGTCCTTGTTTGCTTTTCTCTGTGTCATTCCGGCTTTCAAGTCATACCATATGGGGGCTAAGAAGGCCACTGGAGTCAGAGATCAGCATTGGCCTTTCTGCCTGTGTCAGCCTTGTGACCTTGGGGCAAACATAATCTTTGTAGGTCTCAGCTTCCTCACCTGTAAAGTGGGATGATACTGGCATCTGTCTCATAGGGCACGGGAAGGAGTAAACGACTCAGTACTCATGAAGAACAGAGCTTTGAGTATAGTCGTTTACAATTCTTTTTTGGAACCTTGGTTTTGTGCCTTTTACTTGCCTTGGCTCCCATTTTCCTTGCGGCCGTTGTTTTATGACTGGGAGAAAGGGTATGCCTCTCCTTTTGTGCTGTCTATCTTTAAAGCCTTGTAGTTAGGCCATTGGTCGCAGTGGTGACTCCTATGCAGTCAGCACTGCTGAAGATCGTATTGTACGATAAAGAGTAAAGGTAGCTTGAGTTTGCTGTAGTCAGAAGAAACCTGTCTCGGGAGCCAGTGAGAGCCCCAGGTCTTGGTGGGGTCACAAAGCCTCCCCACAGCACTTTGTGATAATGCCCAAGACCATGGCAGACATGTTAATTAAAGAAAGTGCTCTCCCCCCCCCCCCCAAAGACTAAGTGCAGAGAAGACTGTTTACGTTTCCATTAAAAGAGGTTCCTGGCCAGGCATGATGGCACAGGCCTGTGATACCAGCCCTTGGGAGGGTACAGGCAAGAGAAGTGTCATGAGTTCAACCCTGTCTCCAAACAACAAAAAAGAAAGGTTTCTTTCTCCATCTTTAAAACCTCCCCTAAATCTGATTCTTTTCAGCCTTTAGGTTAATTTGAATACAAGATCAGATCTGATTGGCCCAGCTGTGCAACTCTTCAAGGAAAACCCGTATTCTCTGTGAAAGGAATAAGTGACATAGGTAAGTGCTGCTAAAACTCATTTTTGCTTTGCTTCACCTCCCATGTGTTATGGTAAACAAGGCATGGCTGTCGGGAGGGAAGGAGCCCCAGATGAGTTACCAGACTTGAGCAGCAAGGAGACTGGGAAAGATACTGTGGCCAGCCTCCGCTCTCACTCCAGTAAGGCCTCAGAAAGATTTCAACTTTATTTACATTTCGCCAGCACATAATCAGAGAAACTTTGGGACACTCTGGTAGACTTTGCATTTCTTTTTTTTTTTTTTTTTTTTTAAGACTTTGCATTTCTGCTTTTCTTTTTAAGACACAGTTTCAGGGGCGGGCATGGTGGCTCACATCTTTAATCCCAGCACTTGGGAGGCACGTCGTTCTGTTCAACAAAGCGAGTTTCAGGACAGCCAGGGCTACACAGAGAGACCATGTCTAAAAACAAAAACAAACAAACAAAAATGAAAAATACAAAAAAAAAAAAAAAAAAAACCACCAAAAACCTAAAATTATATCAGGGATAGTTTTCTTTTAAATTTATTATTGTTGTTGTCGTCGTTACTACAGGGACTCATGGATCCCAGGCTGGCCTTGAATGTGGCTTTGTAGTCACGGACAACCTTAACTTTTTAGGCTTTTTTAAAAAGCGTTTGTTTTATGTGTGGCTGTGCTCCTGTCACAGTCTGTATGTGGAAGTCAGGGGCCACCTTGCTAGAGTCGGTCATTTTTCTCCTCCCACTAGACTTGGCAACAAGCCCCTTTAACCCACTGGACCACCTTGGTGGCCCTCCGGGAAGTTTTCAGAACTTCTCTTTCTCTTTTTGTCTTGATGACAAGAGGCTAGTTAAGAGTCTTTGTCCTTTGATCTGTATCTCACCAAACTGAAGATCTTGACAGGGATTTCCCCAGGTGTTTTGGGGCTGTGTTTGTGTCACCTTGGTTTTAGAGGAGTCTTCAGGGCCCCTCCGGATTTGTTCTAGGTCTTAGAAGTCTTCAGTCTATTATACACATTTTGGAGATTTTTCTTCACCTGTTTTGTCTCCATCATTGTTCTCCTAACTGTTTTTAGCAGCGGCTACTTGAAATCCCTGAGGAAAGCAGTTACTATAGTTACCAGGGCTATGAGAATTACATTTTCTTTTTTTGTTAATGTTGTGGTAACTTTCCCCCCACTTCATTGTGAGACAGGGTTCCCTATGGCTCAAGCTGGCCTTGAACTCCTGATCCTTGTGTCTCTACCTCCCAAGTTCTAGCATTACAGGTATGCATCACCGTGCCTGGCTTTGTTAGCCTAATTCTTTTTTTAAAATTTTTTGTTCACAATTTATTCATTATATATTCCATGAAGCCCTCTCCCTCAACTCCCCCTATTCCACCCTCTCTCCTTCCTTTCCCCCTCCCTATCCCTTTCCCCTAGTCCACTGAAAGGGGGAGTTTTCCTCCTTTGCCATCTGGCATAGCTTGTCAAGTCTCATCAGGACTGCCTGGATCCTCTTCCTGTGTGCCCTGGTAAGGCTGCATCGCCAGGGGCAAGAGTTCATGACAGAGGCAGCCCCTGCTCCCCTTACTTGGGAATCCACATGGAGACTGAGCTGGTAATCAGCTACATCTGAGCAGGGGTCAGGTCCTCTCCATGCATGGTCTTTGGTTGGTGCTGTTAACCTAATTCTTAAGGCCACAGCTGATGTTCTGGGAAATACAAGATTCTGTTGATGTCTTTTGTGGGTTTGAAGTGGTATGTGTCTGCTTTGTATACAAGAGCATGCTTACCTCTAAAAGTGAAAATTAAGACAGTTTGTGGGAAATTAGATATGCATATGTATTTTCTGTATTGTAATTTTTAATTTTGGTCTTATGGTTGAATTTTGGTCTGCCCTTGGCCCAGTTTTTGACCAATAGCTGCATTTAGGTATCTCCTGAAAGAAAAAATAATAACACATTTTAATTGATTAGCTCCATTTCACATTGCCTGAAAGCCTCAGGAGCCAGAGCCACCATGACCTGAGCAGAGTCTGAAAAGAACTCCAGAGCCGTGGACTCTGTGGAGCAGATGGCTGGGTTGGGCCGAGCTTTCTCTCGGCCCACTCTGAGAATTGAGACGTAGGGCCAGCATGCCGTGCAGCTTTACCAGGTGAACCCACAGTCCCACACTGTGGGAAACAACGCCTTATACACCTGGCGCTCCAGTAAAGTCTACACCGGGTTAAAGGGCAACAGAGGGATATTGGTTAAGGGCTGTTCATAGCCATTAAAGGCTACCCTAGCCCTTCCTGACTCGCCTTCCTCTTCCCCACTCTCACAAAGACTCTATTACTGTACGTTTCCCTATTTGTTCACCTCTGAACTGCTCGTGAGATTACAGGAAGAACACAGCACCCTCCTTAGCGAGCATTTGCAACTGTTTTTGTGGTGAGGGCTGTTGGCTGGGTGTTGGTGCTGTCCAGCAATGATGGGGGTCCTTGGAGTACCCTGTCGCCGTGTGTAGAGCATATCCAGAGTGGGTCATGCCTGTGCAACAGGATGGGCTGTCCACCCTCCTGGCCCTGACCACGTTTGTGAGCCTAGGCCTGTGCCTTTGCTTTCCAGATCAAGATGAATGCCATGCTGGAGACTCCCGAGCTCCCCGCGGTGTTTGATGGGGTGAAACTGGCTGCCGTGGCTGCTGTCCTCTACGTCATTGTTCGGTGTTTGAACCTGAAGAGCCCTACTGCCCCTCCTGACCTCTACTTCCAGGACTCCGGGCTCTCGCGCTTCCTGCTCAAATCCTGTCCCCTTCTGACCAAAGAGTGAGTGCACTGTCCTGCCTGCCCCCATCTGCCGCTCGATATGGCTTTGTGGGACGCTCAGAGAATCTTCTTTCAGCCTAAGGATGTTACTTGGGGAAAGAGGTCTTTCTGGGCAAGCTTGACGTCTGTGGTTCTAGTATCAGCATGGCAAAGCAAGCAAACAAAATGGGTCTCATGTTGTATCTATAAGGCATACATGGGGAATGGCCTCTTTGGTCTTAAAAACAGTTTTGGTAGCCGGCTAGTGTTTAAATGGTGAATCCTATCTCTGTTGCTTGGAAACGTTCTGTCCTTCACAGCATGGTGTCATCAGCATCCCTGACAAGGACTTTGAAGAAAACAGTAGACATTTTTAGGGAGCTGTGAAACCATGGGGAATATTTTAACTCTTGCCACCCTGCGGACAGAGAAGCCATCCTTATCCAGAGTCACCGGGAACCACAGAGGTCTTGTCGTGGGGTCCTCTTTGTCCCCTGGACATTAAAAAGTGTCTAGAGCACTAACCAAAAGAACACTTGGAGGGAGTGCCTCCTCTGACCCCCGTGGGCCACACCTGCGTTTTGGAGGGGGAAAGGCATGCCTCAGAGAGGAAATCATGGCGGTGGGGCGAAGGGAAGCTGTGCTCCACAGGGACTTGCAATCTGGCTCCAAGAGATGCAGTGTTAAATTTCCCACTGGCACCTTCAGCTTAACCAGACCTTCCTTTGGGCTCAACCGAGGCGCAGGCAGAAGCATTCCTTTTAGTTGAGCAACTGTTTCTCTTTGTGTGTCTCACAGCTTTCTCCATCCCCGGGGAGCCTTGAAGGGGTATGGCTGTGCAGAAAGTGTCTTTCTTAAGTCTGAGGCCAGCCTAGTCTACAGAACATGTTCCAGGACAGCCAAGGCTACACAGAGAATCCCTGTCTCAGAAAAAATAATAATAGTAATAATAATAGTAATAATAATAATAATAATAATAATAATAATAATAATAATAATAATGAAGAAGAAAGGAAAGGAAGAAGGAAGAAAATAAAATTTATTAGTTAATTTTCTCATTGTCACCAAATATGTGTCTCCTCAGCACGGGTCTGGCAAGTCTCTAACCCTTGATGGGAAGAGCAGAAGCCTCCCCATCCACCCTGTGTTGGGGAGTTGGTGACTCCGAGTGCATGACTGTCTCCTAGGAGCAGACAGAGGGCAACAGAGGCATCTGAGAGTTGAATTCCTGCTTTGTGCACTCTGGCCATTTGGTTGATTTTTTCAGAGGCTAGCAGCCAAGGCAGAGGACCTTCCATGTGGCCCCTGGATGTTTGGGTGGTCCCGTGCAGTGTCTTATAGCCGTGACTATGATGCCCTGGCTCACAGAGAGATGTTGCTTAATCCTCGTGGAAAAGTGTGCACAACATAAATGTCATCACATTTGTGTCTGAAACTACCCTGGTGAGACACTGTCCGTCACGGTCGGCTGCACACACCAGGCACCATTGCTAAGGATATGCTGTTCTTATTACACGGTATTTGCAGTTCAGATCTTCTCTGTACAGGGTATGCACATTAACTGTGTATTGAAAATTCTCCAGCATTTTGCCTTGGGTTTTGACTGTTCCTCCTATATTTCATCTGGATAACACACCAATTTAGACTGGCTAGTGACATTTACACATACTTTCAGATTCACTGGAACCACCAGTCCCAGTTCCTCAGTCACCTCCTTTGTAGAGAGCTTTGTAAAACCGAATTTATGCTGGGCGGTAGTGGTACACGCCTTTGATCTCCGAGGCCAGCCTGGTCTACAGTGCAAGTTCCAGGACAACCAAGGCTACACAGAGAAACCATGTCTCGAAAAAAATAATAATAAGAAGGAAGGAAGGAATGAACAAACAAAAGGAAGGAAGAAAGAAGAAAACAGATTTCTTAGTTAATTTTTTCACTGTCACCTGGTGAGGAAGGCATGGGGATGGGAACAGCTTGAAGCTGGAACAGTGGTGTGAGGCAGCTGGTGTCTGCAGACAGGAAGCAAGAGCCTGGGTCAGTCCACGCCAGTAGCCCTCCATCTGCCGTCCAGACCTCATGTCCAGCAGGTTGCATAGCCTGCCAGAACAGCACCACTACCTGGGGACCAACTGTTTAAATAAGTGAGCCTGTGGGGGTTCTTCCCTTTCCAAACCACAGAACCGCAGTGTTTAAGACCCTGTCAGTTTCTATGTAGATGAGCATAAATTTGTACTCAAAATGGACTCCTAAGGAATTAGAGCCACAGCTCTCAGCCTTCCCAACGCTACGACCCTTTTATACACTTCCTCATGTTGTGGTGACCCCCCCCATCATTTTCGTTGCTACTTCACAACTGTAATTTTGCAACTGTTAGGAACCGTAATGTAAATATTTGGGGGAGATAGAGGTTTGCCAGCGGGGTCCCAACCCACAGGTTGAGAATGGCTGAATTAGAGGGAGGCTTCCTGGGAACACTGCCTTTGCGCAGACTCCAGATAGACACTCTCAAGGTTTGATTCTGTACTGTTTGCTCCAGATGTAGGTAAAAGCTGCTCACAGTAGGTCTTGCCCCTTTCTCTTATTTTTCTTTTAAAACTAACTCAGACATATTAAGTCCTTCGGTCTTCCTTTACTTTCTTCTTTTCCTGGAGCATATTCCTGCATGAGCCTGTGGTGTTGACCTCAAAACTACTATTGAGATGATTGGCTCCTCCCCACTTCCTGATCCATCCTTAGGGGACATCAACCTGAGCCAATGGCATCAGCACAGCGTCCCGGCAGTCACTGACCAGGCCCTAGGCTTTCTCCCAGCACAGCCTCTATTAGGAGGGTGCAGGATGCCTAGATTAAAGGTAGGGTTGATGTTTGTTAGGAATTAACCATGGCTTGAGAAGGTGGGCATGAAAGACAGCTTCTCCAGGAAGCATGGACTTCCAAGACTTTCTCTTCTGTCACAGGAGCTGCCTACCCAGGGCAGACTGGACCATCTGACTTGACAAATGATTTGGGACAAAGGGATTCTGTTCCCCCGAGATTCTATTTTTGGTTTTGGGTTGTTTTTGTTTTACTCAGTGTCTTCCTTCTAATTAGATTCTGGTCTGTGTTCATGTCACATTAGCAGATTGTTCCCACACAGTTTTGTGCATGCGCCTGTTTGACGTTCAGCACCTCTCAGATATGTTCTGCCATCAGATCCTCTCATTCTTTCTGTCATTTTTAACAGTTGGGAAGCTGGGCATGGCAGCAAGGGCACCTAAGCCAACTAGTGTTGAGAGTGGGTTTCCCTTCTTATCCCTGGGAGAAGTGGGCAAGGAATGTCCTCAGGATACAAGGGAGAACACAGACCAGCCAGAGGCTAGCCCACCAGAGGGTTTTAGCAGGGTTTTCCCCTACCAGGTGGCCTTCGGTTCCTGCATGTCTATTTCTGTCTCTGGTGGAAGCTACCATCCTCTGCTGATCTTTCTCTGCATCGCATTTCCGGAATGGCTTCCCTTGTGTTTGAAGCTAAGGGTAGGAAATGGCTATTGTGGGTAAAAGCTGCTCCTGGGACTTTGAAGTTTTTTTCCTAGGAACAAGCTGTCTCCAGATTCCACAAACACTGTCCTGTGCCGGAAGGTTCCGGAGCTGGTTCACAGTGAGTGTCAGCATCGAGCAGTAGCCTGACTTTTAGGCCGCTGCTTATTATGACTTTCATGCAAATCCAGACAGACTCTCTTGCTGTGCCCAGATAAGAAACAAGTGGATGAAAGGTAAACGTTCAAAGTGAACAGTAGAGCGGATTTCTCCTCCTCTTAGCTTCAAGTCAGCTTTTAAGTCTGATTTAAATAATTGACCCAAAGGCACATCGCAAATGAGTCCTGTGATATCTGGAGGAGGGCTGCTTTGCTGGGATGATGTGCCTTTATTCACTTAGCAACATGTCAATATTTACCTAGCAATTCAAGAAGTGTTTGCTTTTAGTGAAATAAGCAGACCAAAGCTCAGTTAGGAGCAATGAGAAGACTGGGGTGAGTGGGGGGGAGTGTGTGTCGGTGTACAGATCTCCATTTTCTTTAGAATAAAAAATTTTCTTTAGAATAAAAAATACTCATTTTTTAAAAATAGTAAACAAAGTGCACAAACACCATCTATAATTCTTCTAAGCAGAGGTGGTATGCCATTGCTATGTGAGTGAGCATCTCCAGAGTCTTCTGTATATAAGTGCCCTCCACTGAATCCGGTCGGTATAATTTCTGATATTTCTCTCTCTCTCTAGTGTGTGTGTGTATGTGTGTGTGTGCATGCACGCACTCGAGTGCATGCACAGAGTGCGTTGCAGAGGATTGACCCAAAGGCCTTTCATGTGCTAGGCAAGTCCTCTACCGCTGAGCTGTATGCGTCCTGGCCCAGAATGGTAGCTTGTTTTAACTCTTGCTCTGCCATGCTGCTGCCTGTTCTCTGGCATGTGCTTTTTCTTCTCTATCGTTGAGCTGAATCCTCACCTTGTGAGCCTGGGTCTTACTAGCAGCTCACACTGGCCGTGAACCTGATGTACCCCAAGTTGTCCTCTAATTCACCATCTTGCACCCTCCTTCCAAGTGCTCAGATTCTAAGTATGTAGAGAAATGTAAACTAGGATTCAAACCTAGCATTTTTGCCTGCCTACTAATCAGGGAACCCTGGGCGAAGTGTAGCCCCTCTGGGCCACCTTCCTTCTATTCCTGTGGACCAGGCTGACCTCCTTTATTTGCTCTTTAGCATTAACCTCCAGTGGTTCCAGCACTCCTGCTCATGGTCCTCTTAAGGGACTGGAAATAGAAGTTATATGCTGGAGATGGGAAGAGGGTTCATTGTGTCTAGAGGGGAGTAGGTAAGATCGGGAAGGTTTCTTAGAATCTGCTGCGGTTTAAGATTTTGTTATAAGTTATTTTAGTGGGGTGGGGAGACCATAGCACAAGGAAAGAAGCTAAGCCGGGGGAGGGGAGAGGCATCTGCTGTCTTCTGTCTGTCCTCTCTGACCCACACTGTGGAACAAACAGGCACTG